GAAGGGAGTGGATTACCCTTTGTGTTTACGGTAACCCAGGCTCTCTACAGGAAAGGGAGCGGATTACCCTTTGTGTTTATGGTAACCCAGGCTCTCCACAGGTAAGGGAAGGGAGTGGATTACCCTTTGTGTTTATGGTAACCCAGGCTCTCCACAGGTAAGGGAAGGGAGTGGATTTGCCTTCGTGTTTACGGTAACACAGGCTTTCCACAGGTAAGGGATAATTATTTTTGTTAATGGCAACACAAACCCCTCCATGGGTAAGGGAAGGGAGAGGACACCTTGTTGCCTCTATTACATCCCAGACCATGCGGTCATCAGGAACCCACATCGGCTCCTCTAGCACACGAGCCTGACGCAAGTGGCAGGTAGGACCGCGGAGAACGTCTGTTGGAATGGTGGGGCAAAGAGCAAAGTTGCCGGGGGAACTCAAACCAAACCGCCATCTATGGTGCGTCCTCTGCTCAGGAAAGTCAGAAGCCCTTATCTGCATATTTGTTGCAAGTCAGTGGCTCAAAATTATCGAAACCAGAGGATAACCATGACAGCAACAAACCAGCAATCTCGGTCTCATCGATTCTCTCAGGAACGGTCAGATCTGTGGAAGGTTTTTACACCCAAAACACTCCGTTATCATCACATCTGAGCAATGTAAACAAAAAGGACAGAAGAGAGGAGAAGTGTGAGACAACAAGCCGCAGCCAGGGGGAGCCGGAGAGCCGCTGTGATTGACAGTTTGTTCAATAAGTAAATATATGACCTTCAGGTATGTCAGGCATGGAACGTTCCTATACGGAATAAACAAAACCAGATCCCCCTCACCTCACCCCCTGCACCCGAGCCCAAATCTCATCACCCGAGCCCGAAAATCCAACACGACAAATCTGAGAGCGACACCGCAACAAGATAATTATTATCTGGAGGGCGGTGATGTAACTCCTGTATAATACATCTTCTACCTGGAGGGCGGTGATGTCACTCCTGTATAATATATCTTATATCTGGGGGGCGGTGATGTCACTCCTGTATAATATAGCTTCTATTTGGAGGGCGGTGATGTCACTCCTGTATAATATATCTTCTATCTGGAGGGCGGTGATGTCACTCCTGTATAATATATCTTCTATCTGGAGGGTGGTGATGTCACTCCTGTATAATACATCTTATATCTGGAGGGCGGTGATGTCACTCCCATATAATACATCTTCTACCTGGAGGGCGGTGATGTCACTCCTGTATAATATAGCTTCTATTTGGAGGGCGATGATGTCACTCCTATATAATATAGCTTCTACCTGGAGGGCGGTGATGTCACTCCTGTATAATATAGCTTCTATTTGGAGGGTGGTGATGTCACTCCTATATAATATAGCTTCTACCTGGAGGGCGGTGATGTCACTCCTGTATAATATAGCTTCTATTTGGAGGGTGGTGATGTCACTCCTATATAATATAGCTTCTACCTGGAGGGCGGTGATGTCACTCCTGTATAATATATCTTCTACCTGGAGGGCGGTGATGTCACTCCTAATTGTTTTAGGAAATTAACATTTATCAGATTCTCACCAATCCGGGCCGTCGATTCCACGCTCTTCCCCTATTGGTTGGACATTCACCATCTGGTTTGTCGCACCCACATGGCGAGCAGTGCAGACCAGACACTAGGATAGCAGACCTCATCTTGCGTGGAGTTATTGGATGTGATCCTCGTCTCCTGACTCTCCGTGGTTGTCTTTTGGTCACCTGGAAACGTTATCCACTTGGAGACGTCGCGGACGCTGATGACTGGGGGGGCCCTGGGGCCGGTCAGGACGGTTTAATATTACAAAACTCTTGAGTTGCTTGTTGCTAGAACACGAGGCGTCAATAGGAGGTATTGTGTCATTGGCGCTGGGACTGGGAACGGGCACCACAAAGCAAATAAAAAGCAAATAAAAAGCAAACAGGCTCCAAACATGCCCAATGAAGGGGCCGATCACAAGCTCCGACGTGCAGGCCAGGAACAAGCATGCAACCAGTGAAAGTCAGAAGTCCTCTCCATACCTCACCCTAGTCAGTGACACAGGAAGTTCAGAAACCAAAGCATCAGCATGACAGCCAGGGAACCAGCAACATCAGAAAACTCCATATGTCTCTCAAGACAGGTCCCCTTTTGCTGCAGAGTAATCAGAACCCTCATAAAGCATGTGTCATGTCCATCCTCAGTCCTACCCGCTGGAGCTACCGGTCAGAGATGAGAAGGGAAACAATAAATTTCATCATGGGGGGATTCATTTTATTTTTCCTTGTTCACATCCCATGAACCACAATGAGGGTGAATTTCTCCTCCTACCTATCTATGCGCGCCTTTAGTGTCACCTACAAATCTAACTCCTCCCCTCCTCTTCCTGTAGGGGTCCCCCAAGGCTCTGTCCTTGGACCCCTTCTATTCTCTAGCTACACCTCCTCCCTTGGTCAGTTAATAACCTCGCATGGCTTCCAATACCATCTCTATGCCGATGACACTCAAATGTATCTTTCTACTCCACAACTCACCCCCTCTGTGTCCTATCGTGTCACTAATCTACTAACTGACATATCAGTCTGGATGTCACCACACTTCTTAAAACTCAACCTTTCAAAAACTGAGCTCATGATATTTCC